TAAAAATAAAAAGTCAACCGATTGCTTTAATATTGATATGACAAATATAAAGCAGATTATAGAATATGTAGTGCGACCTTTCACGCACATATGCAACCTGTCATTCAAAGCTGGTATCTTTCCATCAAAAATGAAAATTGCTAAAGTTATTCCAATTTATAAAAGTGGAGAAAGACATCTGTTTACAAATTATAGACCAATATCATTACTATCAGAATTTTCAAAAATATTAGAAAAACTATTTTCTCGCAGACTTGATAGCTTTATACAAAAACATGCGCTGTTAAGTGAGAATCAATATGGCTTCAGGGAAAAACGGACCACCTCAATGGCAGTTATGGAGTTTGTGGAAGCAATAGCCACTAATATAGATAAAGAATTTACTGTTGGGGTTTTCCTAGATCTAAAAATAGCTTTTGACACAATAGATCACAGTATATTATTAAAAAAAAATAGAACGATATGGCATTAGAGGTGTATCTTATAAATGGATAAAAAGTTATTTAGAAAACAGTTATCAGTACGTGCAGCTCAACAATAAAAAAACGAATCAACTGAAAAATCACTCATGGAGTTCCTCAGGGGTCAGTGCTTGGTCCAAAACTATTCATCTTATATATAAATGATATCTGCAGTGTCTCAAAACGATTCAAATGTGTCCTATTTGCTGATAATACAACTTTCTACCGCTCTGGAGAAAATATGAAACAGCCCCTGAAAACTGTGGAAAATGAATTTAACAAATTAAAAAACTGGTTCGACAGGAATAAATTATCACTTAACTTGAAAAAAATCTTAGCTAATTGTTATTGGCACAAGACCAATCAAACACCAAGTTAAAATTAAGGTAAACTCAATTGAAATAGAACGACCTTATGAAAATACGTTTCTTGGATTAGTAATTGATGCAAAACCCTGCTGGAAGCCACATATCGATAATGTTAAAAGAAAAATATCCAAAACCATAGGGATCCTCCAAAAAACTAAGGATGTGCTGAATAAGAGATCTCTGTACACATTATACTCTTCATTATTACTTCCATATATGACCTACTGTGTGGAAATATGGGGAAACGCTTGTAAAACAAACACTCCCTGTTTTAAAACTACCAAAAAAAAAGCAATCAGAATAATCAATAGATCTAATTATATGGACCCACGAATCCACTATTTATCAAATTAAACACAATGAAATTTTATGACCTGGTTGACTTCAAAATCGCCAAATTAATGTACAAAGCACACAATAACCTCCTTTGCCAAAACATCCAGAAGCTTTTTGAAATTCGAGAAAGTTGTTATAATTTAAGGGGTACTACTTGTGTCATCAGAATAGTTAAGTTGGAAACGAATGATATTTTGTTTCTACTTTAAGGGCAAAGAGGACATTTTTTGTTTGTTTTATGTACATTGTGTATTCGCGTTGTGAAATATGTATTTTGTGCATAAATTAAGTTTCGTTATTTCAATGTTATCGATATTATCGCTATTATCGCGAGACTTGCGCTGTGGTAAGGTGATTCCTGCCCAGTCACGGACAAACACTTGAACGCAAGACATAGGAAGAGCAGCAGCAATAAGGACTGTTCACTATCTGTTCAAGGTATTTGTGATTTATTTGGTTGTGTATGTAATTAAATGTAAGACACGATTGTAATCGTTATATTTTGTCCTGTAGATACCAAAAGTGCATTTATTGTTGCCCAAGACCTCCGAAGTGGCAGGCGGCAATGAGGTTAGCGTTAGCCCACATTTTGTATTAGCCTTGTATATTATTTCTCTATTGTATATTGTTGAAAGCATTTTATTTTGCCAACAGTTTTCACGGTGTTGGGGTACCAAGACAACCCCAAAGACACTATTAAACACCCGTCATTTGGAAACCGTGCCCTGGTTTTGTTACTTTGGAGCTACACTACTCTAAACAAAAAATCCAAAACAAGAACAAATATCAAGCAAAGGAGTGTATCTGTAATAGGTGTTAATCTGTGGAATAATTTGTGGATGCTGCCGTGGCACACATTGCCTACAACAACCCACTCAACACCAAGCTTCTGTGCATAGGGCTGGTCTTGTGAGCCATTAACTTGTTTGCATACCTTGGTACTCTGATGATGTCCCGACCCAAGAGAAGCATGATTTGGGCATTTGGATCCATTTCTGGAATGAGATGAGCTATTGACTTTAAATGTGCATGATGAAGAGCGACACTTGGAGTTGGAATTTCGTCTCTATTGTTCGGAATGTCATTACATTCTGTAAGGCTGGGTTAGTGGAATTCTGAGTGTTCCATCCAGGGATTCTAATTAATATCCTTTTGTCCGCCTTCCTGTCACTTCTTTTACTCCCGCACACGTTTTCAGTGTGTATGGGACACTTGGGACTTTTGTCAGCAAACACGTCAAAGAACTGCGAGCGGGCCAGCGACCTATTGCTCTGCTCATCTAAAATTGCATAGACTTTCACCGCCCTCTCTCTGTGACCAGCTGGATACATCTTCACAAGGCAAATTTTTAAACAGGATACCGCAGACGTTGGTGCATTTGGTTGTGATGTAGGATTCAGGCAAGGTTTTGACTTTCTCCCAGCCATGCTCTGGAGCAGGGACCTCCACTTCTGTACATGCTATGGGCTCTGGATGTAGGGCCGTGCAATGTTGCTCACTTTTGCACTCAAAACACTGAAACTGGACCCTGCAGTTTTTGGCAACGTGCGTTGATGAACAACATTTGAAGCAAAGATTGTTTTCTTTCAAGAATGTTTTGCGATCTTCTATGGGTCGTTCTCTAAACGCACAACATTTGTGCAAAGGGTGTGGTTTCCCATGAATAGGACACATTTTGTCAGCGTCCATTGCTTTCGTTGGAGACTCAGTCAAGTCAGGATCCGTCTTGAGTTTTATCTCTGTTTTGTAAGCTGAGATTTTCTGATTGTTTTTTGTCTGCCGCATTGATTTTTCAGCCTTGGGTACACTGTCTGAGTGATAAAGCTGAAGCTTGGATTGTTGGCAATGTTTGCTTCTTGATGAACAAAATCTACAAATAAACTGAAGGGTGGATAATGCACATTCTCTCGTCGCTTATACGACGCACCAACTGAAGCCCACTTCTCTTCCAGGCGAAAGGGAATCTACTGGGTTAACTCCTCTAACTGTGTCAAGGAAGGACAGACCAGGTAAGACTCCTTCATCCTTAGCTGAGAGTATTTCCATGAGAAGATTACTTAACTTCGTTAACGTAGCATATTCCCTGTTCCCTATCTTTGGAAAGGCGTCAATGCGTTTGAAGAGAGCATCTTCAATTGCTTCTGTTGAACCGTAAGTTCCGTAAGAGTCTTGCCCACAAAATGTCTACGCCTGCTTCTGGATTATTGACATGAATTGCCGTTATCCATTCAGCATGTTCTTTTGACTCCTTACCTAGACATTTTAAAAGAAGATCAATTTCTTCACTTGCTGTTAAATTTAAGCAGTTGGTCGCAGAATGAAAAGAGTGTTTCCAGACTCTGTAATTTTGTGGCTTGTCATTAGACTGGAGTAAACCGGTAGACACCAATTCACGGCG